TACTGGCGAACAAAAGCTTCACTAAGATCATTGAAGTTACGGATCCGGGTGCTATCCAAACCCATGTACCATTTCAGAGCGGCACCAGTCAAACTGTCTTGGAAGTAGTGAATTAATAAATTATGATCATCGGAATAAGTGTACATCTTTCTTACATACATGGTCAAATGACTCCGCGGACATGAGTCACCTTTGTACCTTTCAAAGTCCGACACTTTGAACTTGGCGGGAATTTTTACATTTGGAACTAAACACAAATCATGAGCATTCTTTCCAAACAAGTCTTTTCCTTTCAGCGCTCTGATTTCCCTCTGCATTTCTTGAAACTGGTCTTGAAACTCCTCCATCCTATTGAAAAGACCTAGACTTTCAGCAGGTTCAGCATGATAAATGGGTTCATTCATGTATGGAATAGTATGAACCACAGGAGCGGCAATAGTCATCACTGGTTGAGGGAAAGGTACCATAGGCGGGATGACAGGCTGCACAATAGTTGTCTCCGGTTGAGGAAAGGACACAGTAGGTTGAATCAAGGATTGTATAGCAGGCGAATACCCTTCTGGAATGAAGTTATAAGGCATACCACACGGAAAACCTTTCGGCATTTGATGTTGGAGCGGAGAGTTGACTTGAGTCACAGACGTTGGAGCGGTGACAATCTCAGAAACCACAGTAGTTGAAGTTTGAATTTCAGCAGCTGAATTCAATGGCTGATTCTGAGCAGCCATCAAGCATTCCACTAGCGCGGTTAACTTTTCCATTCAGACACGAAGGGTAGTAACCTCTTCGCGAAGCTCGTGATTTTCCTATTCTAGATCTTCCATCTTCCTTTGACGATTGGCTCGGGTATCGTACCGGTGAGACAGCTTGACAATCTATCAGAGTGAAAAAGAGAAACAAGAATAAGACTCTAGAAAACTTGTGAAGTTAAATGTTAGATGATGCATGATATGCGATGAAAATGATCATTTATTTTGATAGTTTTTTAAAGGAACTTTAGAACTTTGATAACTTTGCACACATCAATGGTAAAGGAATTTGGAACAACAAAAACTCATTTCATTAATCAAAGCGGTAAATTACAACTTTGGGATAACAAAAACAATAAATTACAACTTTGAGACAACAAACCAATAATAAAAGCAGTAAATTACAACTTTGGAACATGAAGCCCTTTTACAGAGTTTTATAAAATGACATAAGTAATAATAATAAAAAAAACTAAGAACTAAAGGTCACTCAGAATCATCAGATGAAGGACCAAATGCCAACTGTAACTGGAGCTTCCTAATCTTCTCTTCATAGAAGTCTTCCATCTCTTTCTTCTCAGCTACCAGTCGATCAATGATTTCCTTCCGTGGGTTAGGAACAAGAGCAACGCCTACCAAATCTTCCTTCTTTCTCTTCCTTTCATTAGCATATTTCTCGAGTAATGCATCCTTTTGACGAAGCTTATCATCATGATCAATAAACCAACCGTCTTGAATAAATATCAAATCCTCCTTTTCCTTCAGCTGTCGAGTCAGGACCTTATTTCCTTTTCAGACATATTATACTTTTCCTTCCAAGCATCTCTTTCGGACTTCATCCTAGCCAGATTTCCTAGGTATTCTCTCATGTTCTCGATAGGGATATCAATAGATGATGATGCAACAACAGGGAATAAAGGTTTCTCGGGGTTATAAGGCATCTTGAGAGCACAAGCCCTAGCACGAACCTATTGTAGGTAAGGCTCCAAAGAAACAACACCTCTATGCCCTAACATGTCTCTCCCCTTTCTATGGATGTGACGGCAAGCTCTTTCAATCTCCTCCTTAGCTGCTTGGTGATCTTGTACTTATTGTAAAAAGAAACCACTCACATGAATATTGTTCGGCTTGTCCCTCATTGGGTATCCAAATTGACGGTGCGCGAGAACAGTATTATAGTTAATTCCTCCTTTAGTACCAAGAAGAGGCACGTTAGCAAAAGCACCACAACTATCGATGATCTTCACGTTATAGTAAGCTCGATTATACCAATCTATGTCGGAATGAGTGAGAGCCATAATTTTTGGCGCCCATCGTGGCTCCTTCTCGAGATCCCAGAAAGCATCAGACCTCGGTAGATGAGAAACATACCACTGGTATAACAACGGTGCACAATAGATAATCATCCCTCCTTGATAGGAGTTTCGAATATGGATGGAGTAGTAGGTATCTCCTAGCAGCGTAGGGACTGGATTTCCAATGAAGAAGATTCTAATGGCGTTGATATCCATAAACTTATCAATGTTAGGGAACAGGAATAGGCCATAAGCAAGTAAAGCAAAGACACCTTCAAAGGCAATAATATATTTTATCTCAGCGAAATGACGATCTTTCTTCAACAAAAACTGCACAGATAAACCTCGGATTCCCCCTTTGGTAGTCATGTTCTCCTCTATCTCCGACTTCCTCAAGTGGGTGATGGTTGCTATCTCGTGAGATTTGGGTTCCTCTTCTAAGCCAGAAAAAGGAACACAATCGATGATCAGCAAACCAAGTATGTAGGAGTACTCCTCTAAGGTGGGCATTAACTAGTAATCAAGAAAGGTGAAGCATCGATACAATGGATCACAGAATTGGACCAATGTACTAAGGATGTCTTCCTTCATCTTGCACTTCATGAGAGGTATAATGGACCCATATTTCTTTTGAAACTTCATCGGGTTCTCGATCTTAGGAATCAAACTCTTCAATTCTTCAATCTCAGGCTCCTTAAAACTATAACTTTGAGTGTTTCTTCTTCCAAAATCCATAATAACAGTACCTGAGATGTATGCAAAAATCATTCTTAAGTTCCTTGAAAAAACAAGTTTTACAAAAAAATGTTTATGGATGTATGGATGAATGATAATGTAACAGTTACACATAAGTTCACAAACATGGGGTTCAAAGGTTCAACGCTTCGAGCATGGAGTCAAAGGTAAAGCCCACCCCCAGGGTATGTACTAAAGGTTTAATTACACCTGCAAGACAAGGTTCTAAGAGTTCCTAGAGTCTACATTCCTCCTTCGGATATTACCAACGTCTTGATTACTCAATAATTAGCAATATTCTCAAGAGAAACTCATCCGAGCGTAGCATCGCGTGACAACTACTTCTGAATTACTCTGTTATAGTCTCTTCACTACACCTAAAAGGCCAAGATTGGTTAGGGTTCTACAGTTCTCAGCTTCTCTGGCTCCCAGGTCGAAAATAATAATGTCTTCCCGATTACTCGGTAAATAAATACTACGTTCAAAAGGGCCTTCCACTGAGTGGGGGATTTCATGCCTCCTTCTTCGGGATTACTCCCTCAAAGTTAACATGACTATACCGCCCGTCCTATTCTTAAGTGTAACTTAGTCCGAGTATAGGACTTGTCCTTTGCAAAAACCCAAATAACCACAATATATACATATAATCAAACAATCAAATAATGATAAAACAGATAAAACAAACTAGGCTTAACCCACTTAGGGATGGACCAGCAAGAGGTCAATCTTTCCCCAGCAGAGTCGCCATTTCTGTAGCGATAAAAGATGTAGCGGGGTAAATCGGAGATCGATCTATTAATTAACTCGTCTCACAAAATCAAGAGTCGCCACCGCGCTTTATTATTTCCAAGGGAAAAGGGAAAAGAGCGAAATAAAACCCTAAAATATGCAATGTAAAATAATACTAAAAAGTAATGAAAATACAAGGCGTTTTGAAAAGAGATCTAGAGTTCGGGGGTTGGTTATACAATGGGAAGGTATTAGCACCCAATGCATCTATAGTATCCTATAGGAACCTTTTGAAATATCTGTTTAAAATTGTTTGTTTGATTAAAAATGGTTTGTTTGGCTAAAATGGGAGTGGGCGAGATTTTGAAGATACGACGACCTAATGTCGAAGTTTTGACTTAAAAGGTGTGAGTTTGAAAATTGAATATTTGGGAAAATTATCTTAAGTTTTTAATAAAATAATAAACGAAAGATGAATGAGGGTATTCACACGATTAGATGAGACGTGTTTGATGACATGAAGTCAACAAAATTAAAACAATTCCCTTGGATTTGAGACGGACGAAAGATATAAAGATTAACGATTGATGACAAAATTAATTAAAATGAAAATAAAATTATACTAACATGCATTTTAACGATTAAATAAATAACCAAAAGTACACAAAGATTAAATTACAAAATCATGAATTTTTTTAATAATTAAACAAATAACAAAAATTAAATAAACTAAATTATGAAACAAATATTTTTGAATAATTAAATAAGAGATTAATAACAAAATTAAATAAAGATTAGATATGAAAAAATTTAAATAAATGATAAATTTTAATTAAACATGTTTTTGTATTTTTATAAAGAACTAACTTAAAATTATATAAGTCAAATATAGTTGAAAGAAAAGAGTTAAAAGAGCAAAAGAAACAAAGAAAACGTGCCCAGTAGGAATCGAGCTTGGATCTTTAAGGGTAATGGGTAGTGTACTTTGCCAATTGAGCTATCTTACTAATCGTTATTGTTATTAAAACTAATAATAGAAAAGAGGAAAATGAGTGGATTGGGCTAGCGGCCCAATGGGGCTGACCCGGTTTGGAGGAAAGGAACAAGAAAATTTGTAACCCCAATATGCCAAGAGAGAGGCGTCGCTGCTGTACATTTGAAAGAAAAAAAACAAGTTCTATCTTGCAAAAACGTCATCCATATCCAACGATAAAACTTCTAGAACCGACAATCTCACATCTACTCTCTCTTTAAAACAACTTCAATCTTTATACATTATTTCTAACAAATTCTTCAACAAACCACAACATCAATGCACCCTCACCTCACCTGCAGTACCTTCGACCTTGCCGATGTAAAGGAAACAAAAAGGAGAAGAAGAGACTTGGATATCACGATGGAAGTACCGGAAAAATGAGATTGAGAGAGTATCATCCGGCTGCAACAGGGTGCACGAACGGCTGGAGTTTGATAATGTTGAAGAAGAAAGGATATGAGTGGATGTGAGGTGTTCCGCGAATGGGTTATTTATGGAACAGAGATTGGAAGATTGAGTCGCGCCTGGAAATGGAGAGGAATCGGTGATGGGAGTAGTTGTTATGAAAAGACAGAGGGTACGCGGCTGGAGATTTGCAGAAGTAGGGAAAGGTTGGGTTTTGCGCAGAATGGTTGGTAAGAGTGTCCGTTGAAGGTTGGACCGGAGGCGAGATGAAAGGAAGATCGGTGCTTGATATGTACTGATATGCTAATTTGTATACAATTACAGGTTTGTAGATGGTGAGAAAACATGGGATGGTGATGAAGGATGATATTAGGAGCTTGACAGGCCTGTTTTGCAAAGCTGGAAATTATGAGGTTTACACATGTGTTCTACAGGTTTTGCCAGTGGTATTTTAACAGGTTAGGAATTTTGACAAATTCTATGTTTTACAAGGTTCTATGTTTTGACATGTTCTAGTGTTTTGTTTTTAACAGATTCTATGCTGGTACAGGTTAAGCTGGTTTTATGGTTAACTGATTTCATGGTTTTAACAGATCCTAAGGTTTGTACAGGTTAAGCTGGTTCTGGTTTTTTAACAGGTTTTAAGTTTTTGATAGGTTCTATGTTTGTAACAGCAGGTTCTAAGGTTTTTTTTAACAAGTTCTATGCTGGTTTTAACAGCAGGTTGTTATGTTTTAAACTGTTTTGTGTGGTTAGAAGATTCTATTGTTTTTAACAGGTTAAGTGAAGGGCGTGGCAAAAACAGTTTCCAAAAGTCCAGCTCTGGTTTTCTTATATTTAGATTCCTATTCTCTTAATTTAAGAATGAATTGCAGGTGAATGTTAGAAGGTGATGTTGATGGTTAAAGTTCTATGTTATGTAGGTTTTTATGGTTTTGGATAGCAGATTCTAAACTGGCTCTAACAGGTTAGAGTTTTTTTGTAACAAGTTCTAAGTTTAACTGGTTTTAGTAACAGCAGATTCCTGGTTTTGGTAACAGCAGGTTCCAGGTTTTGGTAACAGCAGGTTCCAGGTTTTGCAGATGGATAAGCTGGTTAACAGATTTTGAGATTTGACAGGTTAAGCTGTTTTTGATAGGGTAAGTGTTTTGCATGTTGAGGTTTTTAACAACTTAAGGTTTGGAGATGGATAAGCTGGTTAACAGATTTTATGGTTTTGACAGGTTCTATGGTTTTGTACAGGTGTGAAGGGTTACAAAAAACTGTTTAGAGTTACAACAAGGTCTTTGGGTGGTGTGATTCAGGAAAGTTGGGAGGATTGTTTTTTTGAGGTAATTTCTTTTGTGGTATTTTTGTGTTTCTTTTGGATTTTGTTGAGACTTTTCTCAAGTAAATTACAGACCAAAATTGATTGGGTAATGTTGATTAATAAGTTATGTTATTCTAACAGGTTGGGAAACTAATCTTAAGGATTAATACTATGATTTGTTGGTTTTAACAAATTATGCATATATCAATGTTGTAGGCATGAAAAGTGATTAGCTATGCAAATGAATTTGGCAAGCATGGATTCATATGTGGAGAAAGCTTGTAGAAAATAATGGGAAGAAGAATACCTATCGGAGTCTCTCTGATGGAGCTTCAAAAAACAGTAAGTTCTCTCAACTTTAATCTTCTATGAGTGTTTTCTGCTCTTCTCTTGCTGTGATTTTTGAACAAAAAGCTCTCTTTCTATTTCTTCACCCTTGCTGAATTTTTGGAACAAAAGCTCTCTTTCTATATTTTCACTCTTGCTGAATTTTTGACTTCTCTCCTCTGCTGAATTTTTTTGGATTCCCTTCTTCTCCCCCTTTTTGTGTTGATAAAAGCCTCTATTTATAGTGAAATGTGTGGGGTTTTAGGGGGGAAAAACAGTAGAAGTTTGAACAAATTCTAGGCCCTGTTTTGATGTTTTATGGGATAGCTTTTTGAAGTATCCATTTTAGTGCAATATTTGGAGCTTTGCAAACTGTTTTTGTAACAACAAAATGTGCAGATTTTTGTCTTATGGGCTGCATTCTGGGCTGTTTTGCAGGACAGATTTGGACAGCAGCTTGGTATGGTCTTTATTGACACAAGGTTGAAGAAAATGGACAGCACTACACTCAAAAAAATGGACTGATATGGATTAATGTAGTGCTGGAAAAATGGGCAGCATTGGGATTGTTTTGTAGCAAGAATAATAGTTTAACTTTCATGTACAAAACTTGTATTTTATTTTGTAACTTTGTAACAATAAGTCCAAATAAATTGTAACATGAATAAACATGTATTCTTCAACATATTCTCAATTTCTTTGGTAGTTATAAATAAACTTGAATCTTCATATGATCATGGATCTTGATATGTCTTGATAAAAATTCAAGGTCTTCCATTTGAATTGGGAAAGAGTTGAACAATACTTGAATAAATTGTTGAATGATGAATAAATAATAATGCAAGTCTTAGACTTTAATCTTGCATTTTTGTAATAGAGATCCAAATAAATCACATGAATTAATTTTGTAATCAAATAGAACTCCTCATGTAATTAGTCTTGTGATGACCGATTAATTGGATCGAATTCCTTTTCCCACTAACTTCTTGAATAAATGCTTCATGTAAGTCCACCAAAATAATCACAAAAATAATCTTGAATAAATATTTCATGCGATAAATGATTATTCTTGGATGAGATCTCTTGATAACTCCTCTTTAATTATCAGTTGGATTCAAATAAAGAAAATTCCAAATATTCCGAATAAATTCTTCTAGAACGGTTTTGAATTTAATCATCCAATTTTGGCGAAATTCAACCCACGTCATGAGAAAATTTGCAGATGACTTTGGTCGAAGAAATCGAAAATGACGGTGTAGCCTGGTTTTTTCTTGTATTTTAGAATAATGTGAAACACACATGAACCAAAGACGGTAGAACTTCGACCGTTCTTTCTGAAAAAATATTCAGAGAAACTGGAGACTATCTGTTGGACAGAGTGTGGAAATAAACGCACAATTCTCTGAAATTCTTTTGATGAACCATTCTTTGAGAATTAACGACCGACCATATTTGTGCCTCGAGACTCGAAACCCTAATCGATTTACGACGTCCGATGCTCTTTTTTCAGACCTATTTCCTGCACATGAAAACAAAACAATAAAACATACACTTTGTGCTTGATTAGTGGTTAGTCATTCATAAGATAAAATGCTCACAACACTCGATAATCTCTACACAGTCAAACTGGAAGGCGAAACGTTCGAAACCTACCATATTCGGTGACCTTGATGTATATATAAAATAATGCAGATGAAACAGGGATCTTAGGTCAAAAATTGGGGTATGATAACATGGTTCAAAACATTGCAAATCCATTGGATTGACAAATGAATTTTTCAGTCAACTGATCAAAAGTCAACTGTGCACTAAAAAGTCAAACTTTGACTTTTTGGTCAAATTCAAGTGCCAAGGATCATAATTCATCAAAACATGTCAAAATGTGAAACTCGTTCATCAAGAAATCAAAGATTTAAGATTTGGATTTAAAAAGTTGAAAAATTCTAACTTAGAAAAAATTTCTAAGTATAGAAAATTTCTTATTTTTTCTCAACTTTAGGCCAAACTTTCACCATGATACAAAATGATACAAAGGAAGTTCCCAACATGAAAGTTGTAGATCTCCATGAAATCTAAAACTTTGCTTCACATAATTTCTCCTGAATATGCTTGGATCTCAAGATATAATTTTGTGAATACATGCTTATGAATTAAAATAACTTAGTGAAATTTTGCCCTAGTTAGGCAGATTTTTTACCTAACTTCATGGCAATTTTTCACATAGTTCCAAGGGGAATCTTTGAAAGAAATTCAAAGATGAATTGTAGAGAACATTGCAAGCTTTCCAAAATATCCAAGAACTCCTTGATATCATGTTTGAGTAGGGAGAATCGAAGAGATGAAGTTAAGGTTTTCAAACTTGATTATAGGTCATTTCCATGAAGAACAAGTTTTCAAATTTGCAAATTGGATGTACAATATTCACTTTTCAGGCCTAAAACTCGTTTGTCACTCCATCAATAATGAATTGCACAAGGTTTAATGCCCTAAAGCCAAGCATTCAATGCATTGTACAAGGAAATAACTATTTTTGGAAGAAAGGCAACATTGCCATTTTGGAAAAGCATGCTTTTTACATTTTTTCATTTCTTGAGCCTTGGACTTGTTTTTTCTGCACAAACCAAGTCTCTAAACCTGAACAAAACATGTTTAAAGCTTCAAGCCACCCTACAAGATCAAATTCATGCCTTAAGAAGTCACTTCTCACACTTGCTTCAAAATCAAGAAATGTAGCAAGACATGTGATCTTGTACTTCTGAGCAAGCACAAGTCCTCCAATCTTTTGCTCTATATAAAGCCATCATTTTGCAACTAAAACCACGCATTCCCAAGCCTTGAAACACCTTAGAATCAGAAATTGCATACCAAGCCTCCAAACTTGCCATTTTTGACTTTTGAACTAAATCTTCCATTCCATTCGTGCGTTTTCAGGCCTTTTGCTTTCCCAAGCTTCCTTACCATACAAGTAAACCATCCCACACCCTGAAACATCATTGTAACTCCATCTTCCCCATTGTTGAAGTTCAAAAACAGAGTAACACAGGTGGACTTCTCCAAACCATTCCAGCCACCCTCAAGACAAGCTAAGCTTTGCATTAGCTTCCTAGAGGTTCAAGGAAGCTAACTTGATCATCACATCATCCTAAAGCAAACTCATTTTCAAAACACGATTTCCATTTTCAAGGTGAGTTTTCTATTTTTCTAACTCTTAATACAGACATAGTTAGCTTTCCATTTGTGAATATAGAATGTAGACATCATTGCTATGAAGTTGTACATATCCATAGTTTGCATTTATTTGGCTTGAGTTTAGATAATTTAAGTTTGAAGTTTCTGAAAAAATTAGGTTAAGAATTAGGGCCAACAAAATTCTCTCTGATCTTGGACTTATAGTTTTAGTTATGCACATGGTTAGAATCGTGAGATAAAATGCTATAATGTTCATGTTATCACTTTCCATTTTTGTTGAGAAATGAAAAAGTTACAGGGGGTCTGGCTGGCCAAAGGTTGAAGATGAAGTACAGGGCAAGGAAGTGGTTTATGTTATGTATTTTTGTTTCCATTTAGACTAACGGATGTACAGCCACCCCAGTGGTAAGGCAGTGCGCAAAAATACCCTAGGTCATGGGTTCGAGCCTTGGCGCTTCCTTTTTGCATTTTTCTCACATTTTGCTTCATTTTTATCCTCTTACAGTTTGGGCTTCAGTTTCAATGGACCCTATGTTTTTTGCTAACTTCCTGCCTCCCATTTGCTTTCAACACCCCTGGCTCAAATATTTTATTTATTTGTTTTATTTTTATTTTTATTTTATTAAATATATTTTCTTAATAATAAAAATCATAAAAAATATAAAAATAATAAATATTATATTTTTGTTTTATTTTATTTTATTTTCTCATAAACAATATTCATTTTTATTTAAAGTTATATACTATCTTTTTTTATTAAACTTGTGAATTAAATTAAAATTAGGTTAAATACTTATTTTTCTTCATACCTATTAAATATTTATTTTAACATATAAAAAAACCAAAATACTTCATAAATATCATATATTATTTTCAATACAAAAATACAAAAATACTTAAAGAAATTTATTTGCTTTTAATAAATTAGAATTAGGGTCTAATCAAAATATTTTCTAAAAAATAATCTCCTTCCTTAATTAATTTAAGTTTAATCTTGATTTTTTTATTAGGCTTAGGTTAAAACTTTTTTACATAAAAAACCAAACAATTCTTCTTTGCATTCATACATATTTACATATTTGATTTATTTTGTATATTACTTATTCCAATAATTGTACATATTCAATTTGGTTGTAATAGCTTAATTAGGTTTATATTATTGCAAATTCCCATTCATAAATTGTATTCCCTCCTCCCACAAAATGTTGTAATAGCGTAGTAATCTTTAAATTTCGCAATTTATCGCTTTACATAACATGTTAGTAATTAGGGTTTGTATGACAAGATAAAATCAATCAAATAGAAAACCTAATCCAAGACAAAATCAAGCATGAAAATGAAACACTTGCACACAAGACACCCCTAGAGTTATCCCACTTGGTTGCCTTATACAAAATGGCCATGTTACACATGTAAAGTGTCTTAGAAAAAATAAACAAATACAAGATCATAGACCCTCGAAGACGCTATTCAAAGTTGCCTTACAAAAATGATCTTAGTCCCTCAAAATGCTAAGATACTTTGCAACATTGCTAATCGTGGCCATACGATGACCCACGCCCGTCCCGTTTAAATCCAAAGATAGGATTGCTTACCAAATAAATGGTAAGACAACAATGTCAAAGGAAAAGAAAATGAACAAGAAAGACATTTGAGTAGGTAGATTACTTTTAGTTACTTGCTCCAATTCAAAACAAATATCCTTGCTATTTTCAAAACAAACACCTACACATTTCCAAACATCCTACAAAATTGAAAACATTTTCAAAAAGACAAACATCTTTGTATACATTCTTACGAACGAGAATCATTACAAAGATTGCCTAAACAATGGCCTCTTTTAAAAAATACTTTCAAAAACCACACCAAGCGTAATTTCAAACAACAAAAGCAAGTGATCTAGCAAGTAACTAAGAGCCCATGGAAAACCATGGATGAAAAGGGTACTAACACCTTCCCTTTTCATAATCCACCCCCGGACTCAAGAAACAATCTCAAAGGTCTTTCCTGTGCTTTTTCACCTTTCCTTTTGGATAAAAGAAAAGTCGGTGGTGACTCTTACTAACTGCAACATTTGCGATCAAAAGCAAAACCTTTAAGTCAGTTCTCCCACCGTATCACAGAATGTATACAAAGATGTTTGATATTTTGAAAATGTTTTCAATTTTGTAAGATGTTTTGAAAGTGTAGGTGTTTGTTTTTAAAATAGCAAGGATGTTTGTTTGAAATTGAGCAAGTAATTAGGAACATTCTACCTACCCAAAAGTCTTTCTTGTTCATTTTCTTTTCCTTTGACATTGTTATCTTACCATTGATTTGGTAAGTAACCCTATCTT